GTTGGTATTGAAGAACTTCATCATATTGAAACCGCTTTTAATTAATGAAAAGAGAAAGGCTGTGATGCAGTTTTCCCATGCTGACAGATTTATATGCTTCCTAATGTTTTGACAAAGTTTGATGTACTTTCTTATATGCCTTTTTTTATATATCTCTGTATCGCATTGCGGGGGTATTCTGGCATTTTAGCACAAAACTTCAGAGCTGTGGTCGTTGCAAGAGGAGCGTGGGGAAAATGAAATCAAACTTCAGACATCGTCACATTCCTAGAGCTGTAAAATACAGCTGCAGAGGGAAAAGTGAATTCCTAGCGCTCAGTAGATAATAGTTGCAGAGGATAAACACGTGTTGAGATGGGCTTCGTCTCGCCCAGCCGTGTATGACGGCCGTGTGTATCTAAGCTAATCGTCTGGGCGCTATTTACGGTCAGTGAAGAGGAACAGGCACGTCGCATGCTGCGTTGCATCTGACCTATTTTAGCCATCTCGCGTAGAGGGAGGCGAATCGCAGGACTCCCAGCTCCTCTCCGCTGACTCTAAGAAGGACCTGGAGTGACAAACTCCGACGTAGATGTCGGTGCTGCAGAAAGCTCAAGTTAAATGACGTGAACCCCTCCTGCTGGGTTTAACATAAAAAGCACATATGGGCTTGATGTGAATGCGAGGGAGACCGAGCTCTGAAATACTGATAGCATACTGGAATTAAAAAAAAAATCACAGCTGCTATGCAAACTGAGCATTTATAACTGCTTTGCCAAATTTAAGCTATTTATTGATTAGCGGAGTTGCCCCCCAGACCGGTGTTTGATCTGAAAAGCTTTAGGAACAGATAAGCTCAATCATAAAAGTCTGCAGGTTCTAGTTTTTTGGGGGGAGTTTTGGGATTGCCATCGTAGTACAGCAGTTCCCTGGAGAGCATGACTGGCCTTGGCGATTTTATACATTGTTTGTGTTCTCCGAAAGGGCAGGACAGATCTGCTGTCGGGACTCTACGTATTCCTTGTGAAAATAAATGCTCTCAGCATTTTGGTGCTCATAATACTGTGATACTGAGGCTTCATCCCTTTAGCGTTCCAGAAGGACACGAAGTGGTAAAACCCTCATGCCAACCCAGGACATTGTCTTATCAACTAACTGTGCATGGCAAGACGAGTTGAATGATAGAATCACAGACTGGTTTGGGTGGGAAGGGACCACAGGCTGGTTTGGGTGGGAAGGGTTTGGGTGGAGCAGAGTACAGGGACAGAATCCCCTCCCTCGCCCCCCTGGCCACACTTCTGATCCAGCCCAGGATGGGGTTGGCTTTCTGGGCTGCCAGCGCCCACGGCCGGCTCATGTTCAGCTTTTCATCCCCCAGTACTCCAAGTCCTTCTCCTCAGGGCTGTTCTCTATCCACTCTCCACCCAGCCGGTCCTTGTGCTGGGATTGCCCCCCACCAGGAG